CTGGGCTCCCGCTGCTGTGATGAGTGTGGGGGAGGGCAGGAGGAGAGGGGAGGTTGACACCTGCTGCCACCTGGCCCCAAGCAATCTCAGCTCAGGTTTCAGAGGAATACAACCATAATTTTTAAATGACAAATGGAAACAAAGAGAATGAAATTCTGCACGATTTTAGTGTTACAAAAAGTTATGCTATTGCTTCTGGGCCAAAATTCCAATAGCCATGCGGTGTATTAAAAATGGAAAAAAATCAGCTTGGATGAGATTTGCAGCTATGTTTGAAAATATCAGCTTGTGTGTGTTAATTCTTGCAAAAAAACCCAGTCATAAAGCTCGGCTATATCTACACTACGAGTTTTCTCAGCAAAAAATATGCTAACGAGGGACTCATTTGCATGAGTCTCAATCTCATTTGCATATTTTCTGCCAATCTGTTTTTGAGCTGGGGTTTTTGCGCAAAACAAGCAGTGTGTTCATTTTCTTTTTGCACAAAACCCCCTTTTTCCACAAGATCGGTAAACCTCCTTTTTTGGGGCATAAGGATCTTGCGGGAAAAGGGGTTTTTGTGCAAAAATGGCCACACTGCTTGTTTTCGTGCAAAAACCCTAGCGCAAAAACGGATCAGCAGAAAATATGCAAATGAGGTTGAGACTCATACAAATGAGTCCCTCATCAGCATATCTTTTGCTGAGAAAACTCGTAGTGTAGATATAGCCGAGCTTTATGACTGGGTTTTTTTGCAAGAATTAACACACACAAGCTGATATTTTCAAACATAGCTGCAAATCTCATCCAAGCTGATTTTTTTCCATTTTTAATACACCGCATGGCTATTGGAATTTTGGCCCAGAAGCAATAGCATAACTTTTTATAACACTAAAATCGTGCAGAATTTCATTCTCTTTGTTTCCATTTGTCATTTAAAAATTATGGTTGTATTCCTCTGGAAGGTGCATTTTGTACTTTCTGACACTGCATGAAAAAAAAAGTGCTATTTTTTCTTCCCTGCTGGCAAGATTTTTTTCTTTTATGTGCATCTACTAAGAAAGCAACAATGAAAACACCAGAGTTTGGTGATGCAATACCGCATGGAATAATAGCGTTCAGTAATGACCTTGGGCCTCTTGTTTTTGCAGTGGTGGTGTGACTCAGATTTCACACTGAACTTAGAGGTTGATCACTCAGAACATGGTTGTTTCCTGACAGTGGGTTAATGGGGAGGCAACAGGAGTCAATTCAAAATTAAAGGAAAAGTCCAGTGAATGTGGCTTTCAGGAAAAGCAGGGCACAAAAAAGTTCCATGTTATCGTGGTCCACTGGAAAGAAGGGGCTGGAGATAATAAAACATCTGACCTCATTTAAATGGCACAGGGACACTGTTAGGAGAATGCAGTGAGGGGATGCCACTATGGGTGTGTCTAGACTACATGGCTCCATCAATGGAGCCATGTAGATGAGGCAGGACAACAAAGGGAAATGAAGCTGCGATTTAAATAATCGCCGCTTCATTTAAATCAAAATGGCCGTTGCGTTGTGCCAATCAGCTGTTTGTCAGCACAGCGCAGCAGTCTAGACGGGGATCTGCCAACCCCAGAACCCTTTGTCGACAGTTCCTTTATGCCTCGATCCTTTAAATCACCGCTTCATTTCCCTTTTTTGAGTAAACTAATCTAAAGGGGTCCGTCAACGAGCCATGTAGTTTAGACGTACCCTATGAAAAGAAATCCCATTTTCCCTTCTATTGCACCATCCCATTAGTAGCTAAATGTGTAAACTCAGCCACGGAAACAGGAATAGCTCTTAGAATGTTGCTGTGATTCACAAACATACACACAAGTGCAGTATAAAGAGCTAACTTGTTTTATGCATTTCCCACTGTCACCTCCAGTTCTTTTCCAACATTACTGATATCCAGGTTTCTCCCTTGCAATTATTAATTGTATTCTGGGTTGTTTTCCCCATTCTGCTTGTTTGCATCTTTCCAAACAGAATCGCTGATTGTTTTCTGCCCACATGCCTAATCTCTTTAGCCTCTTAGTATTTCTCTTTCTCTTCCGTCCAGTTTGCAACCCCTCTTAATTAAGTATCTGCAAATCACTAGGGCTCCAAAGAACCTGTACATAATAGTGACTTCTGCTGTCCAGTTTGCAACCCCTCCCAATTAAGTATCTGCAAATCACTAATAAGGCTCCAAAGAACCTGTACATAATAGTGACTTCTGCACCCCACTAATCACCTCAACCCACATCTCTGGAGTTAAGGATGTGATGCACAGCAGCAGGAGACATTCATGCACTAGCTCTTATTGAACAAGTATGCTAAAAATATAGCGTAGCCATGGCAGCACAAGCAGCATGATGGGCTAGATTCCCTGAGTATCTGCCTTCGGTCTCTTAAAGGCACATGCTTGGAACAGCTAGCTTGCCCTGTCCTACTTCTTGCACTGTTGTGGCTACACTCCACTGCACAATTCCAAGTGCAGACATACCCTGAGAGAGGAGTGTAACAAGGAAAAGACACCGAAGAGTCATACAAGAGAGAAAATATCTGATTTACCTGCAGCTCTCCTTCCATTATACTGAGGAGCCGGATTAAGTCCTCTTTAGAAAGCTCTATGGATTTCTTGTTCTTTCGTTCACTGGGTGCTGGTGATGTCAAGTGTCGTTTTACAGTCCCCGAGACCATGACCTCCTCTTCCTTTCGATGGGATTTGTTCTTTTTCTTGGCATCTTCCTGAAGGTTTTCATTCTCTGCCTTCCTGGTAATTGGCTTAGAACTGGAGAAATGCCCATTAGGAGAGCTTTCTCCACCTTGGTTTCGCGATCTCATCCCCACCTAGAGAGAAAAAATTATAAAGATGCATTTTCTGAGCATGTAAAACTATTTACACGAGCCCAAGATCTACAGCACAATTGTTGCTAAGAGGCCGAACCATCTTTTCCTTCTGAGTACCAAGAAAAATGCCACGCTCAGTGGTAGAGTGCTGAAAAGCTCACCTACATCAACAAGTTTGTCTCTGGAATCCAATGAAGCAAAATATTGATTGTAAGTTTAATAGAGCCCTAAAGCAGGGTAACTGTACTTGTCAGGCTGCTGGTATGAGTTACAATGTATGGTGCTTAAAATGAGGCGGGCACCTGGCAACTACAATTTTCCAATCTCTATTTTTTCCTTCAGTTCTCTTAGCTCACGGTAAGAGAAAAAAATGAGAACACAAGGGTTTTGAGGCAAATTGTGATTTAACAGCAGAGTTAACTGAAAGACTGTAATTAATATTTATAAAAGCATGTACTTGGAGTGTAAGTTTTCTAAGGAACAGGGGTAAGAAGGTACCTGACAAACTAAGAAGTGTTGGGTTCAATGTTGGTAATGAAGATAATCCTCTTACGCAGATCCTCTTCATAATTTCTGGTCATGATTATTCTGGTATCAAACTTTCCATCCCTCCCTAACACCTATTGGCCTCATACTAAACGCAGGTGTTAAAATAATCTATTCTGGATGGATGTCATTTTGACCATAGAAACACCTTGTTCAAGCCATCCATTGGGCTTCCTTTAACTACATGAAGTTGAGGCTGCTTCTCCTCACCTTCAAGGTACTTTCCATCACTACATGGCTGCTCTTACCATGTTGCCTGCCATGCCATTTCCACTCTGCCCAGAACAGCCCCATTTACCTGTTTGTTGGTTTATTTCACAAACATCTATATCTTCTTCTGTGCTGCCCCCGACCCACAGCATGCCACTCCCTCCTAGATCTGATCAATAATCCTCTGTTCTTATCACATTGCTCTTTGAGACTCCCCTATGCCTCAATGCCTAGGAAATCAGCAAGACAATTATGACCTGAGGGGAAGGTGGGATTTGTTGGCTTTCACTTTGTATACTTCCAATTATAAACTGCAAAATGTGTGACTGGATAGACAAGCGTATATACTCAGACATCCATCATCCCTACCTTCTCATCTGCCATGGGTCACTCATCTTTGGTAAGCTCTTTGAGGCAGGGACTTTATTCTTGGAAGTATTTGTACAGTGCATAGTACTATGAGGTCCCAGATATGATTTTGACTCTGAATACTACTATAAGAGATCTTCAAAATAGTAATAATGAATTTTAAAGCCTGTTTCAGGGCCAAATTCAGAGTTAAGGAGCAAAGAGGTATAAGTTAGACTCCCTGATATTAACTAGGTCTCCACTAAACTCAGATTTCCTTATACCTACTTATTAATGAGTAAGAATGTAAATGGCTGTAATTTATATGTAATTTAATTTATAGTCAGAATAAGGATTAAAAGATTTCATTTAAAGTAAGAGGTGATCTCTTCAACTTAATAATTATATTCCTCCTTTTCCATTTTGTGCTGCACTCCTGTCTTCTGGCCCCTTAATGTGTGAGTTAAGCCAATTTAGACTCCCTTACACTCAATTAGGTTAGGTAGGCAGATTCAGAATGAACATGTACAGGAGGTAAAGATATAACAAGTGGAAGAGAGTGGAAGGGAACTTGAGGCAGCATACATATAACAAACTGTTTGAGGGATCTAGAGAAAGTAACAACATCTTATACTCTCTAGGCCTTTGACATTCTTAGGGCTTGAATCTTTGATCGCTTATATAAGGGCAAAACTGGTATAATTTCATTAGTCTCAGCAGTGTAATCTTTGATGTACAAGTTAACAAGTCTACAATCAGGCCCCTAGATTTTTCTTACACACACCTAAATTCACTTCTGAATTTAGTTTGCACTTTGTTCTCTAATCACAGAAGATTATTTTCAGCAAATACTGCTAGTTTGGTGTTACCACCAATCTGTGTTGATGAAGCAGAAGTAGCAGATCAGTAATGACAATGCAAATCTTAAGGTTAAGTCTGGCAAATTAGTTTGGGTAATCTTTCACAGAGCCTACAAGGGTTTACACTTTAGTTGATTCTAGCCAGTGCTATAAATACCCTTGTTTACATTAGCCTGAAGTTTTCATAATGTGTGCCAGATTCTTTTTCATATTCATCTGTTATATACTAGTGTAACACCATTAATGTCTATCCCGATTTATAACAAAGTAATTGAAAAGAGAATCCATTAAAAAAAAATAATGGAGATTGCCAATCTCCTAGAACTGGAAGGGACCTTGAAAGGTCATCTAGTTTAGTCCCATTTCCTACCTTCACAGCAGGACTAAGTACCATCCCTGACAAATTTTTGCCCCATCCCTAAATGGCCTCCACAAGGATTGAACTCACAACCCTGAGTTTAGTAGGCCAATGCTCAAACCACTGAGTTATCCATCCCCCCCAAGTCTTTTTAAGCAAGAGATATCTGTCCCCCCCAAAGTGTTTTTAAGCAAGAGAATATCATAATGCGGTTGCTTGCATTGTACGGTTATTTCCACCCAGACAATATGTGATACAGGTATACAATAGTTATTAACTTCCTGAAAGCCTATGCATTATATTAAACACAAGAAGTATGTTTTCTAAAAACAGATCTCCATTATAAGCATGAACAATACCTGTGGAGCTCAGGAAATCTTTTAGGTCTCAGGTTTGTAATGGAAAAATAAACATTGTACTGTGTTTCCTTTCAGATAGGGCTATTCAGTTTGTTTGGTTATAATGGGTTTTAAACTCCACAAGCATGTTTCCTCTCCAAGACGGAGCATTTGGGATTCACTTTGTCTCTCTTTTCTATGTACTTCCTTCTGCGTCCCTCTGGTCTCCAGCAAGAGCACCTACAACAGTTTTTATGGTTTAGACTTGAGAATGGATGATTTCATGGTTTTAGAGCATCTTATGTGCTTTATAAATAGGTATTTCAGATCTTTATATATTTATTCCAGTGGAAACCAGATTGTTGCATTGCATAGTGCTCTAGTTACACAACAACCTCTGCATAAAGCCTTAGAACGTAGGTGCACAGATTAGTTAAATTTGACTCACGTCCAGTTGAGTAATGCTGTTCAGAAACCTCAACTGTGTCATAAACAGCTAGCGAAGGGCAGCTGTATATGCCAGACTTTCTGAGGGACTTCATGCTGCTTTCTTGTGTCACCTCATTCTGGAGCACATTAACAGGAGATTCGTATGTAATTGTCTTTCTCTGCTTGGCACTGAGGAGACCTCAGCTGGAGTGCTGAGACCAGTTCTGGGTGCCAAACTTTAAGAAAGATGTGGACAAGTTGGAGTCCAGAAAAGAGCAACAAAAATGATAAAATGTTTAGAAACCCTGACCTATGAAGAAAGGTTAAAAAACTAGGCATGTTTAGTTTTGAGAAAAGGAGACTGAGGCAGGACAGATAGTAACAGTCTTCAGATAGTAAGGGTGCTATAAAGGGGATGGTGATCAATAGTTTTCCATGTCCACTGAAAGCAGGACAAAAGTCATGAGCTTAATCTTCAGCAATGAGAGTTTTGTTTCTATTTCAAAATAGAAGGATAATCTTGGAATAGGTTTCCAAAGGTGGCTGTGGAATCCCCATCAGTGGAGGGTTTTATGAACAGGTTAGACAAACTCCAGTCAGGGGTGGCCTAGGAATATGTGACCTTGCCTCTGTGCAAGGGTCTGGATTGATGACCTCTCAAGGTCCCTTCTAGCCCTAAATTTCTACCTTGCTAGCACCATATGATAGAACCTCTTTGTTGTCACACACCAATGAAAGTCTAAACAACAATTCACATAGGATAGTAACTGAGCCAAGTGTAGGCTCACAAGCATGTAACTAGTGTCTATTTAGACAAAGATTTTAAAAAAATCTGGGGCCAGATCCTCAACTGATGTGACTCAACATAGTTCTATTGAAGACCTCCTTTAAATGGAATGACAAAATATACTACTATTGCATCTAGATTAATTAGTAATCCCAGATTTTCATAGTAACTGCTGAACTGAGAGCTTGCTTGTCTACTATTACAATCTTAGCTGACTTTTTGATATTTTTTTAGCACATGCAATATTGTTTTGCATTAAATTTGAAATTGAAATAGGTGTCGCAGACATTCATTTACAATCACAGACACTAAATAAACCATCTTTTAAGATGTAAACTCACCACGATAAGTGTGATTTTAAAACCTGCTCTCCCTGTATCTTAAACTCCTTCCCTCTGTGCTCTTTCCAAAGCCTCTGCTGGATGCCAAGGTGTTGGATGCTGCTGCCAGAGATGCACGTAAACTCAGGATTAAATGACAGTAGCTGAGATTTAAGTTTTGATACTCTGCTTTATAGAGCACTGTGAGACTAAGGGCCAAATTTACCATGCTCTGGCTGCTTTGCAATGCTCTGATGATGCAAAGCAACTGTAAATCTGACTCAGGTCTGGGAGGGAGAGAGGGTATGGGAAGGGGTAAGGAATTGGGGTGATTATTGGCTCAGCTCTTGTGGGTGGGAACAGGTGACTCCATGTGGCCCTGAACTTGCAGGCTCCACCACCACCACTCCCATTGGCCGATTGGTTCGCAATTTGCAAATCTTTTTCTCATATAACTCTGCAGTCTAGACATAGCCCAGGGTCTATACTACATACTTATTTCAATATGACTATGTTGCTCAGAGGTGTGAAAAATCCACATCCCAAGCAAGTCAGTTATACCAGCCTTAACCCACACGTGAAAGCACAATGTCAACAAGGCCATGTCTACAGTAGGTAATTATTTCAAATTTATCAAGTTTGAATTGGGATTGCTCTTGCCTTAGGCAGGGGGTTGGTCTGGATGACCTCCTGAAATCTCTTCCAACTCTATGATTCTATTATTCTAATTCGGGGCTCTCGATTTTACAGATTCAAAGTTCTGTGTCCTCACTACAGGGAAGAACTGAATGTAGTTCAAAGTAC